AACCTGGCCAACATGGCGGCCGATGTGTCCCCGGGTCAGGACCTGGTCAAGCCGATGACCCCCTCCAGCCTGGGGGGGCCGTCCCCGTCCCCCGACAGCCTCCACTCCACCACGGTCCAGGTAGGGTCCTCAGGATACCAAAGTGTTCAACTGGATACAGATACTCAGGAAAATACTCGATACCATTTTCGATACCACAAGGATAAAAACAAAGACCCCAAAATGTAACTGAGTTTTGACAGGTTAGAGTCTTTGGTTTTAAAGTTACCTGTTACTGATGTTATGGTGGCCCACATTAATGACCCTAACCCTAACCCTAACCCTGACCCTAACCCTGACCCTAAACCTTCATAATTGTCAGAAATAGATTTTTTAAACTTGTTAAACTTGTTTGGACTTATTGTACAAACCTATTTAACATCCACTATTTTAACATAATATTATGGATAGAGTTTAATTCAGTGTTTGCAAGATTAATTTCACTATCTTTAAATCAATGTCTATATTGCCATGAGCCAATTAGGATTTTCTTGCCAGGGATCTTCCTATTGGTGACCTAATCAAAATGTCCGACTTGGATGTGGATATGTACTTGATTAATGGTAGCATGTTGTTATTAGCCATTAGCCGCAGCTAGCAATTCAAAGCTAACGTCACGTTAATGGGTGGTATCGTTACTTTTGAAAATCAGTATCGTATCCAGATACAACATTTTAGTATCGATACTTTTTTGAGTGTCTATGTATAGAGTGTAATTCAGTGTTTGCAAGATTCATTTCACTATTTTTAAATTAATGTCTATATTGCCGTGAAGCAATTAGGATTTTCTTGCCTGGGATCTTCCTATTGGTGACCTAATCAAAATGACCTAATCAAAATGGCCGACTTGATTAATGTTGGCGTGTTGTTATTAGCCATTAGCCGCAGCTAGCAATTCAAGGCTAACGTCACGTTAATGATCATAAACAACGTAAATAAATACATAATAATGGTATCGTTACTTATGAAAATGAGTATTGTATCTGGATACAACGTTTTAGTATCGATCCTTTTTTTTTTTCTTCTTTTAACTTTTATACTTTTTTACTCCCCTAGGCCCAGGGCAGCCCCAGTGTGACGGCGGGTCCCCAGAGCGCCATGCTGTCCCCCCCCCGCCCCCCCCC